AAATTAAATTATTAAAATGAAGGGAAATTTCCCCTCGCAAGGGGAGATAATCAAGAAAAGGCAAAAATAGGGTTGGGTCATTAAAAAATCTTCTTCTCAAGAACCACTGGGCCAGAAAAGCTGAAACTTATGTGGAAGCATCCTGGGGTGGTGTAGATTCTAAATTGTTCACATCATGACCCCCGGGGGAAGGTCGGGGCCACAATGGGGAATCAAAATTTTACATAGAAATATATAGGAAAAATCTTTGAAAATCTTCTTCTCAAGAACCACTGGGCCAGAAAAGCTGAAACTTATGTGGAAGCATTCTGGGGTAGTGTAAATTCTAAATTGTAGGAATCATGACCCCCGGGGGAAGGGCGGGGCCATTATAGGGAATCAAAGTTTTACATAGAAATATATAGGAAAAATCTTTGAAAATCTTCTTCTCAAGAACCACTTGGCCAGAAAAGCTGAAACTTATGTGGAAGCATCCTGTTATAATGTAGATTCTAAATTGTTCAAATAATGATCCCTGGGGAAAGGTCGGGGCCACAATGGGGAATCAAAGTTTTACATAGAAATATATAGGAAAAATCTTTGAAAATCTTCTTCTCAAGAACCACTGGGCCAGAAAAGCTGAAACTTATGTGGAAGCATCCTGGTATAGTGTAGATTCTAAATTGTTCAAATCATGACCCCCGGGGGGAAGGGTGGGGCCACAATGGGGAATCAAAGTTTTACATAGAAATATATAGGAAAAATCTTTGAAAATCTTCTTCTCAAGAACCACTTGGCCAGAAAAGCTGAAACTTATGTGGAAGCATCCTGGTATAGTGTAGATTCTAAATTGTTCAAATCATGACCCCCGGGGAAAGGGCGGGGCCATTATAGGGAATCAAAGTTTTACATAGAAATATATAGAAAAATCTTTGAAAATCTTCTTCTCAGGAACCACTGGGCCAAAAAAAGCTGAAACTTATGTGCCCATGGAAGGATCATGGGGTAGTGTAGATTTCAAAATGTCTAAATTATGATCAGTGGGGTAGGGTGGGGATGCATTATGTATAACAAGGGGGAAATCTGGTAAAGAACAGAATGGTCAAAGCTTCTCAGGTGAGCGATGTGGCCCATGGGCCTCTTGTTATAATTTGATATTTTTATTGTACATGAACCAAGATTTTTTTATCAACAGAGAATTAATCTCTCAACCTCAATGTTTTAGCCGAATATGGATATTTAATTATTTTATAGGAACTTGTCTGTGTAGTTCATGTATGAGATACCCCTATCATTAGTCTCTTACTGGTAAAACCGGAGGGGACTATAGGTTTCCTCTGCATCTGTCTTTCCGTCCGTCCGTCTGTCTGTCCCCGTCTGTCTGTCAGTCTGTCCTACTTGGTTTTCCGCACTTTTTTCTAAACGCTTGCAGATACTGAGCTGAATTTTGGAATGTGAATGTATCTTGATGAGTTACAGACCAAGTTTGAATTTCGTTTCGCTTGTTTCTCGTGCTGAGAACATATTAAGGTAAGGTTTGCGTCTCCCTCCAACTTTTATTTTTTTTAATATGCACACATGCCATATATCAATTTATTCAGGGAGATTAGCTTCATCATTTAATATGATTTTCAAAGATATTGCACGTCCCATTTTTTTAGTAAAAGACGCCAAATTTAACGTATTTCATATTTCACCTCGAATATTATTTTCATTGAAAAAATTGATTTATTTTATTAATTATCAAACTTTTATAATTAAAATGACCTGAATTAGTATAATTCATGCTTCTATTATTTAAACTATTAATTTTCCGTTATCAAAAATGTGAAAAATTGGGTAAAAAAGAAGATTTTTCAATTTTCCTTGATAAAGTGAAACCGTTGCCATGGCAACAAAAATATAAAAATCAACGTTTTACATATCTACCGATTCCATCAAATTCCATGAAGTTATTAATTTGATCATTTTAAATAATTTGAACCAAAAAAATATGTATGTCCCCAATATTATTTCCATGGAAACAGGGGCTATATTATGGGTTCGGAACACAAAAATCAGGCTTTTTCTACACTTATAAAGACAACATTGATATCACCTTGTCATGGTGAATGTTAAAGACTAAATGTATTTTTGATACTGTTTTTAAGCAAAACTTGGCCAAAAATATTCAAAATAAAACTCCTCCTGTGCTACAAGATGGTCTAAAAATTTATTCCATGGAAGAAATCTAGTATTTATGGCAATCTTTACATCTGAATATTCTGATGAAATTGTCCATGAATTATACTGCAACACCTTTAGAAGTACATGTATATGTTTATAAACATACTTCAGAACATGTTGCAACTAACCCAATTAAAAGCCTCTAAATTTGACCTCATGCTGATTTAGTTATTCCAACATGTAGTAATTTCTAGACATCTTCGTAGCAAAATATCTTTATTCAGTTATGTCTCGTGACTATCATTATACATGTATGCCATCTTTTGAGTAAAATGTTGTAAGCATTGCATCCACGAAGCTGCTGTTTTTATAATTAAATGATTTCTTTACTTCGAAGAGTAGAAATGCTATCTTGAAAGTAATGTTTGTTTGCCCTCTCTTGACTCTGGGTAAAATTATTGGGTCGGTAGGTGAGAAAATCTTCAACAACATTTCTTTACGGGGAATAAGAGGAATAAAAAGAAAAAATACGGCCCTGCATTGAAAAAAAAATTTCAGTCTGAGTCGGTCTGGAGAGGCCGACAACCAAACATATCTTAAAGATGGCCTATTTCTACACTTCATGGACATTAGCTCAATCATTGGATTAGGTAGTCTGAGAATCTAAATTGAAATATCAGACAGAACAAAATAAAGATGAATTCTAAGTGACATCAATTCATACTTTAATGAGTTTACAGAGTACTTCTGATTTCAGAGAAAAGGCAAATTCTGCAAAATGACATAACACTGTCATAAATATTTGTCAAGAACAGGGAAAAAGAAACAATGTTACAGTGATAGATATATCTCCTTGATATCCATGAAATAATAATTTAAATATAAAATTTTTTTCTCCTTTTTAAAATCAAAATACAGAAAAAAATTAAAAGATTATAAATGTAAACAATTTTAAAATAAACTACATGTATTTGTGAAAGATTTTAATTTTAGTTGATTACTAAACTGGTCTTATCATTCCTACTAAATTAACAACCTTTCAATTTCCAAGTGTCATATTTTAAACTGTTAAATGTTCACTGCAGCTTTATTTACAAAACTCATCAGTTTTCAGAAATACTTATTTGAGCATATTAGGTCCTGGTAAGAACAAAATTTAATGAATAAAAATATTAAATTTAATTGTTCATGTATTAATTTCCTTGCAATTTTACAAAATAACCCTTTTAAGAAACTTGTTACTTGTAAGTGTAGACAAAAGCAACCTTCAATTAATACCTTAATGTATACATTTATTTTACTGAAAACAAATTCAAAGATGGACAAACAGAGCATGCACTGCAATCATCACATACACATATTTTCTAAATATATTGAAAACAGCATGTATATACTACCAGGTAGATAGGATGCTGTTAAACATTAATTTTTTTTCTATAATCTATAGACATATAAAAAATATGCATTGGGTACAACAAATCATCATTTCTTTTCCAAATCTCCATTGACTTTGCCATGTCTGGTTCAACATCTTAGCTTGATCCATCCAACTTTCTTTAATATTCTTGAGCTGATATGGGATGACCTCTACTTTGATTGATGGCACAAATCTTTTAAGGAAACACTGAAGTACTTTTTTTTGTTCTTATCTATTCCAATTAATGACCCAATTGATCTGAAATCATATAAGTTTTCATTTTTACAATAACAATTAAGGAATTGCATTTTTGGAATTGCATAAGGAATTGGACTGAATTTCATTCACTCAATGAAATGAAATTTCCAATATAATCAATGCAGAATCAATATGAAATTATTGTACAATTTATACATATAGATTGAATTAGTGAAATGCAAATGCTTGATCAAGAAAATTAATGTTCTTGTCATGCACAATTTGTATTAATTAAAAAATGAGATATTAATTAAAATCAAACCTCATTTAAAAGGTAACTTGAACAATTGAATACCTGTTCCAATAATGTTACAAATATTAGGCCTAAAAAGCAAGGATTTTTTTCATAATTTCTTGAATGAATGCATTTTTATTTTGTGGCACTGACATCCTTGTACCGTTTATTCATCGTTTTTAAATCTGTAGTCAGAAGATCATTCATAACTTTCAGTAAAATGAATAGTTAAATAATTACCTGATGAAAATACTATCAACAATCAAACTGTCAACATCATCATTGGACATGGTCAAATGCACCGTGACTTTTCTTCCCTGTTCGGACTGCATAAAGCATAATACTTTACAGGATACTCTCAGGTCTTTTCTTTTTTCCTTCCCATTCTCACTTAAAATTTTAGTGTAGTGGTGAAGCGAGAAACACACAACAGCACAATGCGTCGATAACTTCTGATCGGAATGGCCTACAACTTGCCACATTCCGTATCGAAAATAAACAAGTCCTCCTTTATTGGTTCATCCACATGCATCACGCTAATCTCAAAGGCTTTTAAGATTCCTATGCTTTGATTTGTCATAAGACTTTCTCCTTAAAACGTCCTTTGTTTTTAGTCCTAACAATAAGTGACAACAAGCATCAAGTATGACAGAGGAAATTCGTTACCGAGATGCTTAGCATCGCTGGTTTAAAGTCGCCTGTTTCAAACGCTTTGGTGATTCGCAAGAGTTATCTCCCTGTTAACGCAAACCTTACCTTAATGTAGTGATGCATTCAGTTGACTGCTGTAAACATTTTAACAATGTTTTAAGCATTATGCTTTTCAAAACTTATCATTTATAAGAGATTTTTTGTAACATTTTCCTTTTACATAGCTAAATATCATATCTCAGTCTGATGCAATAAGCATCCACTTGAATTTTTTAAAAAACTCACAGTTGTATGTTCACTACTTGTTATTCTTCCTTGTAATGCGTATTTTTGCACATATTGAGGATGTCGATCTCAAATGAAAAAAAAAACTAGGTATTTATGGGAAATGATGGTACGTCTCTCGTACATCGAAAATTTGGCAAGATTTGTTTTAATTTTCAATTTGACTTTAATACAACTATATCTTTTTATAGAGAGTCCTCAAAGGTAAGATGTTGATGTTTAAGTCCATGTTCATTTCAAATTATATTTAAAAAGTTCAATTTTAAATTCAATATCTAATGAAAGGATTGTATTTGATTGTAAAAGCAATATATAACATGTATATGTAATTAATAATCCATATTTCTCATTTCTAAGGAAACATACATCTGTTTATGCGGCAATTATTAAAGGTAAGTAACAAATTCTGACAATAATTTTTTTAAATTAAATGATTGTGTATATCTTTGTAATATTTTTTATTATTGTGTGATTTCTAAAATGCTTTCAAAATGTTTTTAAGGCTGTAAACAGCAAACATTTTGATACCAGTGAGTTATATATATATACTGTTATGTAGGATTAAATGGAAAATGCAAGTATTCACTAGTATCTATTACAAATATATGGTAATATGCAACCATTAATTTTTGTAAATATACTTGTTAAAATTGCAATACCTCAATCACCAGTTCCGTAGAAAACTATATTATATTGAACATTTAGTCTAGAATTACATGTAAATGTGATAAATCATCCTTGATCGTCAGATATCCGTTTTAGGAAGGTTTTAGATTCGAAACCCTTCCGCAAGTGACCTTAGCAACTGTTTCTCGCCCAGCGCTCAAACTGAAAATGAAAATGAAAGTTGTTGGTTCTTTGGATGAGACCTAAAAAACGGAGGATGTTGCCTCAGGTGTTGGAACAATCAAAACCTCTCACTGCTTGATAAACTTGGTGCTAAGCAAATTTCTATATCTGAAGACCTTTAAATCCACCTGCTTGTCATTACATCTCTATATGAGAGAAAATTTCTCGAATGGGGCCTAAAATAGCAAACAATCTATCAAACAACCGCCCGTAATGCATGTAATTATGTTAAGGCATGAAGTTTTGTTAATTATTCATTTTTTTCATATTGCGTGCAGTGACTATGTACAACGTATTTATTTTTATTTGTTAGACTGCAACCCCGGTTTTACAGGACGATATTGTGAACTTCCTTGTTCATATCCAGGATTTGGGAAGGGATGCCAGGAAACGTGTAATTGTGTAAAGGAATATTGTGATGAAGAAAATGGTTGCAAAGGTATTTACATGTACTAGTCGTGGTAATAATTATATGTCAGCCATTATCATAAAATTGTCAACCTTTTTCAAAAATATTATTCAAATACAATGTTTTTATTTAAATCTTGAACATCTATGAAACTTCTAAAATAAATTAAGCAGAGTAATGTTATTGTATATAAAAAGATAACTAACACATCATGGCCACAAGGGAACTTTTATAATTTTAGTTAAAACGTTTAGCTTTAAAATAAGAAATAGAGCAGTAAAAATGTTATCGTATCATTTAATTGATGTTTTTATAATAGTATAGGCAAATAACGTTTTCTTGGTTTCAACTTATCTTTATCAAGTTCTTAGTTATAAGTTTGAGAATGAAGAAAAAATAATAAGACAGGAATAATTCTTTTGAAAGTCAAGGAAAAACACTAAGTCTGACATCACCAAAAATTTGGTGGTAGCTTTATTTGCTGGTCAGTGACGTCAAATGTCGCCTAAATTTTGCAATTACGGTAACTTTAAAATATAAGATACGTTTTTAAAAGAAAATTGAATAAATGGCTTATTTAAGCGATTTTAAATTTTGCTGTATTTTTGCTTATTGGTTGCTATCGGTATTTTGTAGATGGTTCTCAAACGTTTTCCTCCACAACAATAAAAGGCACAACTAAGCTGCATTTCACAAGGAACATTTTAAGTAAAAATATACATTTTTTGAAACAAAATGCCTCTAAAAATCTCAAATTACATATGTATTGAAACCCGATTTTTGATATGCATTGATGAAGTTTAAAATATCACCACTTGATTTTATTCAAGAGATTATACTTAAAACAATTATGCAACTTGTAAATATACATTTCTCACATTATTTAAAATATCACTTTTTTTCTCTATTGATAAGGTATAACACTGTTAAATCATGCCGGTTATTTTTTCAAGTATGTCAAAATGGGTTCATTGGAATGAAATGTGAAAATAAATGTCGATACCCAAGTTATGGCAGCAATTGTCAGCTAGAATGTTTGTGCATTGAGGACCTGTGCAATCATGTCTCCGGATGTCACACAAATGGTAAGTACATATAATTTAACATTAGAAACACTCAAATGTTACTTTCTCAAGTGTACTTAAACATGATAATATCAGAATTTAAAAATAAAGTCCGCGTTTTCGTGAATGTTACAGAATAACCTCTTCGGTCTAAAAATGTTGTTTGAAAGATAAAAGCCGAGTCGTTAGCCGAGGCTTTTATATTTCAAACAGCATTTCTAGACCGAGGAGGTTATTCAGCATTATTTACGACAACAAGGACTTTATTTCTATTATACAGTCTAACATGTCAACTAAAATCGCTAAAATACGGCTGATCGTTTCCTCAAAAGAGAAACGAATTAGGTCATCATGTCTCAATTACGCTGTTCCATTTACCAGAGTTAAAATTTGATTACTTACCCGTATATGGAATGCAGACGATTTGAGTTTTCGTTACTTTCATAAAAAAAAACAACAATTTAAATCTTAATTGCTCGGTCCTCATATTCTGGTTACACTCGTTCACTGTCACTCGTGAAGAGGTAACGGGATCTCGCTTGGCTAGTGGAGGTGCCGGGATGTTTCAATTCAGCTTCTCTTTTATCTTATATAATTCCTTGTAAATTTGTGGACCAGAGCGGCCGCCATTGTTGGGGAGTGGAGATGTTACCCAACCTGTATGAAATACAACCAAGGCAGTCAAGATTCAGCTTTCCACTCTTTATTAAATTATAAAATCTAATTGTAACCATTATGATTACAATAAATAATTTCACACAATATACTAGACAATTTACTAAACATTATTAGTCTTAATATAAAAAAAATGTTATCTGTAAATAAATTAAGCCATGTGAAACTTTTAATAATTAACAAAAACCGCGCAAGTCTAGAAATTTATCTCACCTGTATGAAATACAACCAAGGCAGTCAAGATTCAGCTTTCCACTGAAATCTTGTCTATCCTGGCCGTTCATTTCATACCAGGTTTACGTTTGTAGATTTCCATATCCATATTCGGATTGCAGCCAAAATTTCCAATAATTACTTTAATTTCAAATTTAAATTTTTTAACAATTATGTCTTTATCCTTCAACACTCTTACTTGATTAATGCATTTTAAAAATTACTTTCTGTCTTTTGCAAAATTTGTTAATTTCACTTGCTGTATCTAATTTATTCGTATAACTGACCCCTGGTCACTCAAATGTTATTGGATGCTCCTTCCTCCTAACCAAATGCCTTTCCTAATAAACGATTCATTTCTTGGAACTGGCCAGGTTAAAGTTCAACTTTTATTTCTTTACCTCTTTAACTGCTTCTATATGATCGCGCCCACGTGTGCTATCTCCGCCAAGTTAATTACGCTGAGCCGACCAGTACAAATTCATCCCTTATCTTCTTCTTTTATCTTCTTATTTTTAGTGCAATTTTTGTTATGATAAATTCCCCCTTCTGTCGAAAATCTTGTCCCCAAGATTTGTTTAAAAAGTTTATGATTTGGAATAATTTGACTTGCTGCAAAATTTACCTAAAACCGAAAGTTCAATAATTCTATTTATTTGATATTTTCGCGCCGATTTAAACTTTAATTACAAATTTATTAAAAATTACCTTTCAGATGGCTTTGACAAAGGAAATACCTAAACATATATTACTACATATTATATAATTTGAATTCAAACACAAAGGTTCATGTATATAATTAAAAATACACTTTCTAACAAAATTACAATATATAAAAACACAACACGAAACATACTATGTACACTTTTCTTGGTTGCTTTTTTTTTTCTTCCTCTGGGCAGTGATGGCATTTTTTTTTATGCAGAAAAACACAGTAGTGACGAAAAAATGTTACAAAGCTCGATTCACAAAAACAAAATTAATGCTCTGACCATTCATGGAACATAATCATTCTCATTGTATGGATTAAGACACTTTTCACAAAAATATCATTTGGTTGTTACATGTAAATGTATCCCCTGTTCACATTTGACAAAAATAATTTCCACAGTGCCGCATGATAAACACTTTTATTACAAGACATTATCCCTGTAAAATATATACATATAGTCCTATATTTGACGCATACTCGATCTTTCTGCTTTGAAAAAAAAAATCTTTAAAAGTTAAGTCATTATTATTTATGAAAGGAGAAATGATTCTCGAGCTATTCGGAAGAATGTAAAATCTCTAGGTACATAACCTTCCACTACGATCATTTTCCCTTCAAATATTTCTCTCCAAACCCCTTGTTTGGTAGACTATTATAAAGTCCCGACTCAACTTTTAACTTCAATAATGGTATAAGAGTTTCCCTTTGCTATATTTAAAGGTCCTTAAAATTCCCATTTATTGGATTTATTTCTGTGAAACTTGTTTAACGTACACAAATGCATGGTCAACGGGGTCCCCTTCTATGGTTCAAGACCCATCCCATTTAGCATTTATCTATGTGAAACTTGTTTAACGTACACAAATGGTCAACGGGGTCCCCTTCTATGGTTCAAGACCCATCCCATTAGATTTATTCTCTTGATTTGTATCATACATTCAACCTGACAAGTACTTTTTATTTTGCAAGCATTTTTTTTTATATTTCTTCATAAGCGTCAACAATTGTTATATCAGGTAAATTATAAAACATTGCCCATGTAAAAAAATAATTTCAACAACATGACAATATTCTAAAAACCATCGTCGTAAAAAAAATCTTGCATAACAAAGGTAGGCATTTTAAAAAAGAAAAATATACACTGTCCTACCTGTACTGTCATTTTTTTTTCAAAGTCTTATTCATAGGACACAAATAAACTGTCCCACCACTGGATAATGCTCTTAGGATCGAAAGCAAGGGCTTCGGCACGGAACCACTGTAGTTATCCAAATATATAAAATTGTTCGAGTTTCTGGTCACCAACGGACGGGTTGGTAGTAGTTACCATGTCCTGTTTGCACAATTAGTATTTCGTTAGTTCGTTTTTAGTTCGTTTCGTCTGTTTTATTAAACACACGGTCAGCAAAAGTTTGTCAAAACGTGTAAGTCCTTTAATTACTCCTACCCAGAGAGTGTTAATATTTTTGTATGTCTCTTGGCCTCGTAGATTGTCTCACGGCTCTGGTCCAAGTCTCGCCTTTTCGAGTCCTCTGTCCGAAAAAAAAAACAGTGGAATTGGTAGCTAATCCTCGTCGGGGGGGGGGCGACGTAGAGAACTGTCAAAGGCTATTTTCTTCCTTCTGAATCTGACGTAAATTTTAAAAGGGACTCTCCACCACTTTTCATAAAAAAAAAACAACAACAATTTAAATGTTAATTCTTCGGTCATCATAATCTGCGTTCACTCGTTCACTGTAACTCGTGAAGAGGTAACGGGATCTCGCTTGGCTTGTGGAGGTACCGGATGGCTCAATTTCACATTTCTTTTATTATAAATTCCTTTTAAATTTGTGGACCAGAGCGGCCGCCATGGTTGGGGAGTGGAGATGTTACCCAACCTGTATGAAATACAACCAAGACAGTCAAGATTCAGCTTTCCACTGAAATCTTGTCTATCCTGGCCGTTCATTTCATACCAGGTTTACGTTTGTAGATTTCCATATCCATATTCGGATTGCAGCCAAAATTTCCAATAATTACTTTAATTTCAAATTTAAATTTTTTAACAATTATGTCTTTATCCTTCAACACTCTTACTTGATTAATGCATTTTAAAAATTACTTTCTGTCTTTTGCAAAATTTGTTAATTTCACTTGCTGTATCTAATTTATTCGTATAACTGACCCCTGGTCACTCAAATGTTATTGGATGCTCCTTCCTCCTAACCAAATGCCTTTCCTAATAAACGATTCATTTCTTGGAACTGGCCAGGTTAAAGTTCAACTTTTGTTTGTTTACCAATTTAACTGCTTCTATATGATCACGCCCACGTGTGCTATATCCGCCAAGTTAATTACTCTGATCTGACCAGTACAAATTCATCCCCCATGTTAGCTTCTTATTTTTAGTGCAATTTTTGTTATGATATTACATTAAAAATAGCCTTTTTAAATTATTTTATAATTTGTTCGTAAAATGTATTGATCAATTATAATGAATATACAGTAACAAATAATGTTCCTGTTTTACAACTCTATTGGAACTAAATTCACGTAGTTTAAATGTGTAGGGATGTCCATGGAATAGCCCAGCTTAGCTATGAAAACCGACGTACATCAGCAACTTTATGCAATTTACAGTGCTTATACTGTCAAAATACGACACATCGATGCGGTTTAAACAATTATTTCATTCTACAGCCAAACATGCATTTGACTATTGTTCAGATTTGATACGTGTTTCTGATTTATTGGAGAGTAATGTTCGCGGTTTTTCTTTGATCTTTGTAATAATCGTGGTAGAGTGAGTATTTAAAAACAGCAAAGCCACCTCCGATGTTGGATCACACAGCTGTTTCTTCAACTAAGTATAAGTTATCAAAATATTAAAATGAAAATTATATAAACAAACAACTTTCAAAACCACTTTAATCCATATTGTAAATCACACAAACCCGATCCTTCATAATAAATCTATTTGTCTGAAGTTTGATATGATTTAGAATTGTTCAGATAATAAATCAAACTGAAAGAGGCTGAGTTTGGTTATTTACATGTAATCACTTGATGCTCAATGTTTCATATACAGTTGCTAATGGTATATTGCTAGATATAAGTAAACTTGGTTTTCACTAAGTTTAGTTGTTTGTTTGTATGTGTAAAAATGTGGAATTAACAAACAGTGATCAATCTTTTAAAACAACATATACGTATAAACAATTAATATCTATGTTGAACTTTCTACGGAAACGTTACATCTGTTAGAGTGGCTATTTGAACTAAGTGTGCACAATTTTCTTCAGTTCTTTTTGATTTGTATGAAGCAGAATTTAATTTTTAGAGGTCTACAAAAACGAACTGTATTTAATTGAATTTGACACTTATTTTTAATGTTGATGACTGATAAATGAGTTACATTTTTTTTTATTGTTGATTTTTATATATATATATATAAACCAAGTTAAATAAATAGAAATGTTCATGTATCAGGCTGTAATGTGATACTGCAAATGCATTACATTTGGCGTGTATGATATTTGGCAAAAATTCAATTTTCAACAAGTTAACGTAGATTTGATTTAGCGCTGTCTGAAGTTGCTATTTATAAAAGTTAATATACACGACATTTAGCGGTGAACTTGAATTAGCGGACTGCTTTCCGCCAAAATCGCAAAATAGAATACACTGCTAAATGTAATACGTTTAAGGTATGTGAATAAATTTTATTCCAATTATGTCTCAAAAATGTACTTACTTTTAGCATTCTTGAACAGATTTTCATAAAGTGACTAGTTTACAAAAACAAAGAATAAAAGCAAAACTATCTAAAATTGATGTATATTTACATACAATTTTTTGATATATTTCAAACACAGATGAGAGCATTGGTAAGAATACCGTTCATACTACCTCTGGATTTATTGGATTCACTAAATCTGATAGTGTTTTGACCACAGGTGAGCATTTAAAATACCGTGAGAGCAAACATCATTTACTTATTTTTTAACATTATTGTTGCAAATGTCATTGTTTCAAAAGCCAAAACTCACTTTCAACAAGTAAAAGCAAATCTTATAAAAATAGATTATTTAATTGTAATAACCATCAACATGCAAAAATGATTTGTCTTTTTTCAATGCATAACGTTTGTTTATCCATTTGCAAAATCGCGATTTAAAAGTTCTATATAACTATTTTCATTGAAAATACGATGCATATAATGTACATAGTGTATTTATAACAAAAACATATTTATTTGGCATATATTAGTACTTGCGATGAACATTTCAGTGCCATATGAGGGTTTTCCCAGAAAAACTTGATTTTTTTTAATATTCCAAATACTATTCAAACAAATCTTTAAAAAAAAATTGCATGCTGTTGGAAAATCATCGTTTTGATATTTTCATAAAATATTATAGGCCTGTGATGTCATAAGCATATACAAAAAAACAGCATTTATAGGATGTTGATATCGATGATCGGCAATTTTTTGACTTTTACAAATAGCATTGTCAATAAAGTTTTCTATATTATCAGACTATACGTCAATACTATGTCAAAATTTTACCTACATAAATGCTCTTTAATGTGGTGAACTCATATTCCAAAATTCATTTATTTGACATCATTAATGGCAAATATATGACGATTTGTGCCAAGTATTTAGACATTGTCAAACAGGTGACGTTAAGCGGGAATGTGGAGCACCAATTCATCAAGCAATGCTATATTCAGCAGGATATGACTTCTCTTCACAGGGAAAAGGGATGTTAACCATGAAAAAACACAAACATTAGTATGGGAATCAGGTTTATCTCTAGTTTAAAGGGTTTTAGGTTGACTTGATTATCCGGGAGAAGAGAATAGAAAACTTTAATAAAGAACTAAAAAGACAAGAGCGGGACGTCGAAGATGTTGAAAATGTTGGCATTTTCCTAAGACACAGGCTCAGAAGCACTGTTATTATCATGTATAGGATTCAACAAAACGTGCTTTTCGTAGTCAGAAGTTTTATGGTCTTCTACTTGGTCGCTGAAAACTGAAATCGACAAGCGGTCCTTTGCCAGGCGATCTGCATACTAGTATTTAAAATAAATCCCTAACTACTGTAACACAAGAGATTAGTGTTCTTGTATTCTAGTTCTTTTATTCTTGATTTGATGATCAAGAAATGATTATCAATGGTTATGGTGACAGTGGTCCTAAAATACACAATACAGATTTGAAAATGATAGTCATAAAAACAAATGTAAACAAATACAACATAACCTTTCAGTATAAGTAAAAAATAAATGTCTATTTCATGAAGTAAAATTTATGAAAGTCAGACTTCTATTACACTTTATCATACAGCATATCATCTTAGCAAGAAATAAATATGCAGTATAAATAATAAGTAAAAAAATTGTACACAGTTCACAAACCTAAGTAAGGAATGCAGTATGGCTTCCGGTCACTGTGACGTCATCACACGAGGACTGTTCACTATAAATACAATCAGGTCTTACTACTCAATTCATACAAACTATAAATACATGTACTTGACAAAGAACCAATGGTATAATAAAAATGTTTTGCATTGAACAATCTTTTAAAATAATATATAACATCAGGCCATCTATTATTTTTAACCTATAAACATACTTATAAACAAATGTCTAGATGGTAACATCACGACATCATTTCTGACTAGTAATAAACAACTTTCAATCGGGAAATTACACAGTTGCATATTTCACGAAATATAGAAAATCATTCACCTGTGACACAAGTGCCTAATCTAATATGAATGCAAGACAAAAATATCATTACTCACATATATCAGACAAAAGGCATTTAGTATAACACGGCTGACACACATCTTCATTGGTCAAAATCTACGGTGAAAATACCGCCAAAACATGGCCTACTGTATATTCGGTAAATTGACCAATCAATGGACAGATTCACAAGTGTTAAAAATAAGTTATAAAAACTACTTACAGTCAAATACTAACGTTATTTCAGTTATTGAAAAAAGGATATAAACATGAAAATATTTTCCTTTTTATAATTTGTAAACTTTATCAAAAATTCTGAATCTCGAGCCCGATGCAAAATATACTTCGCCCTCTTACACTACGACAGACCATGGCACGCTGACGGCCTCAATGCAGATTCCAAATAAATTATATGAATGTTAACAACACTATTCAATTTTGATAGCATTACTTATTTATCCAACATACCTCACACTATACAATTCAAGTCCATCTTTGTTCAAACAGCAAACACCTTTTAATGATACACTTTATCTTTGTTAAATAGAGCGAAATCATCAAAGCAAGAATAGGAATGCTATATCTGAAACCAAGAAGACGACCAGCAAACGTTTCTCAAGTATTCTGCTACAAAGTATACTTGTTCTTGGAATTCTTGCATCCTTTCTGTTCATTCTGTATGTCTGTACATTTGTGATGTCATCATATGGACGATTCCGTGCTCATCAAGAAAGGGAGTTTATCTTTGAAATAAACCATGATCCGATATGACTATGAAAAATCGAAGGAGAGCAGCGAATGTAATATACCTGGGATGCACCTAATCAAAAAAGACTAATGGGTTTAAAGTATTTCAGAAACTACCTGACAAAATTGATCATTTGTATGCCCTGCTCAGAGATACCAATTTGTTATTTTGTTACTATATATTATATTATTTACAACCATATATTATTATCATATTGTGAACATATTTTTATGTGTTTGAGAGAGAGAGAGAGAGATGGAGATCGACACACAATTATGACGAGAAAGTTAGACAAACAAAAAGACAAATCTATGTGTAGTTGTATTTTTTCAGTCTTACATGCACTCGCAATACTGTAGAGAGAAAAGGTTTTGGTCTTAAAATCATATTCAGCATTAATGTATATCACTTTTATACATGTATACAAAAACACATTTTACTTCTTGGTATATCTGATAGATCAACTTTACTTTCTTAATCTCCTATTTATAAATAGTACGAGATTGAATGGTAACTTTTTCAGTAGTACATGTAATAATTATCTAGAAAATATTTTTGCGTTATTCTTGTGCTGAAAGAATTTGAGCTGAATCATTTAGCTTACCTGAACTGATTTTTTCTGATTACATTTTGTCCGTTGTGCTGTTATTAGAAAGATTTCATTTTATAGTTATCTGTTTTGTGGTACAAGTTATCTATTTACAGCGTGGTATTCTTATGTGTTGTAAAGTGTAGGATTGGGATACAGCATATATAGGTTTTTCTCTCACTTTGTTTGAGTTAATGATATGAATTATAATGAGAGATGCTCTGTCTGAGCGAATAACACACTGTATTTTTTCTTATCTCGAAACGGGGATCATTTGCACCGTGTTACAGTCCCTGAAACGTTCTACTTTCCCACCTGAACGGTGAACGAACGGTGAACGAACGGTGAACGAACGCTGAACGAACGGAGAGCGAACGGTGAGTGAACGATGTGTGAACGGTGAACGCAACTTGGTGAACGATGTGTGAACGGTGAACGGTGAGTGAACGCAGAACGCGAACGGAGCGCGAACGCGAGCGCAAAGTGAACGGTGAACGAACGGTGAACGCAAGATGAACGATTTATTCGGAATGCCTTTGGTCTTTTCCTTGCATTGAAATTATTCTTTTATTCTATAATTCAAATGTCATAAATAAAATAATATAAATAAACAATAGATAAACAAAAGAGAAATAAATAGATAAATGAATAAATAAATAATAAAAATAAAGTTCTGCACATACGTATGTTTAAATCGATTTTTTTATAACATGATTTTAATCGCCGTCAAAAGTGTATTTGTTACCGCGTGTAGTTAAAAAACAAATTAATCTTATATAGTAAATAATATGCTTATTCTTTTCACTAATAAAATAATGTGGACTTTAGAAGATGAAACTACTACTGAGATAAACAATAGATAAATAAATAAATCAATTAATTCATTCATTCATTCATCAATAAATAAATAAATAAAAACATTTTTTTTTCTGCACATATCTATGTTTAAATCGATATTTTAATAACATGATTTTAATCGCCGTCAAACGTGTATTTGTTACCGCGTGTAGTTAAAAAATAAATCAATCTACTAATATAGTAAATAATTATGCTTATTCTTTTCACTAATAAAATAATGTGGACTTCTGAACATAAAACTACTACTTATAGAATGAATTAATTACATTGTACGGGGTTGAAACAACCGTACATGTATTGCCGTGCCAAAGCGATTCTGAGTAAAATAACGGATTTTTTTTTTTTTAATTCACATTTATCTGTTGACATCGACTGTTATCGTACTGCATAAAAATTCTCGTTTTATTTATTTAAATTCTATTGCAAAATATTCTATATTTATGTGCCTTTTTATTCTTTTATGACAATTATTTTTTGCTAACTTCCTCATGTATCTGTAGACATTTCCCGGCCGTGATTATACTCGGTCAAGATGTTGGAAAGAGGCATTCAAATTATTTGTAATAAAATTTTCAAAACTAAATGAGTAATGTGTTGTCATAATTTTTATTGAACAGAGAAATGTACGAGAGAGAGAGAGAGAGAGAGAGAGAGATAACCCCCTCGATTCTCAGACATATATTGTATCAAATAAAAATTCTTATTATTTTTCCTAAATATTCCAAGCAATAAAAGTAATCTTTTTTTTTTTTAGATCAACAAATCCATTTGACAGTAATCATTGGCTTTTATTTTCTATCATCAAGTTCACACAGCTCACAGGAAGTCCGTGCTACATTTGTAGTAGCGTGCTTGTGCTGTCAATAAAAATAATTCGACACAGTGGAGATGTGGAAATCGCTTTTCACCGAGGGCGAAGAGTCACTTAGTATTCCGAGAAATTTTAATATTTTTCCCTATCATTTCTAGATCTGCATTTTTGCATTCCTGCAGAAAAAAATAATTCGAATATATACTTGGAAGGATTAAGTTTTAAATTGAATGTGAAACATATTCCCTGCCAATTTAAAATACTTCTGTCGGCACAAGTTTTTACTAAAATACTATTGTTTAATGACTGTTTGATGTTGGTTTTAAGACTGATTTTCTTGTGTTACTATAAAAATTAAATATAAATTAAAATATACTGTCAAACCTCAATAAGAATTTTATTTCAGGAGAAAAGGCACCGGAGGGGGGGTCTTAATTATACTGAATGGCAAATAACATATTTTTAAACATATGTTTAGGTACGGTGAAGGAAGGAATTTTTTCTTCTCTAATAATAGACTATTTTAAACAGTTGGTCTTTTCTAAAATTTTAAACACACCATCAATTTAATTATCTCTAAAGATATTTAATTAACTGAATCTTTGCAGTACTGTTCATAATTCTCAAACCTACATTTAGTTTAAATACGTGTTATTGTAGAAATAATTTTTTTTATGTATTCTTGTTCTGTAACAGACTTGGATTAATTATTATACAATATTAATCTTTTGTCCTCTCTAAAATTAAATCAAACTGATGCCGTGCGTGAAACATTTGTACATTGCCCTTTTTTGAAGTTAATATTTTAGTATCGTTCTACAAACATGTAGGTACTTAATGTATTAATTATTTTCCAGGGAAAATTCATGAAATAGGTAACAGCTGAGTTATAATAATAGAAATATAAATATCATAGATAATTTTTGCAATTAAATAATTATTCTTCAAACACGATATCTAAGTTATTTAATTAAAAAAAACATGAAAATCCTTACCATCTAAAAGATAAGTCCTTTCACTTAGGAGTTCCGAATGACAATGAAGACTGAACGATAAGTGAACGGTGAGCGCAAGGTGAACGCAAAGTAAACGGAACGAAGAGCGAACGGTGAACGTTTTGTGAACGGTGAACGCGAGCGCACGGTGAACGGTTAACGCAATACTGTGAACGAAGAGCGAACGCTGAACGCACGCTGAACGAACGGTGAACGAACGCTGAACGAACGGTGAGCGAACGGAAAAATGGGAAAGTAGAACGTTTCAGGGACTGTAATCCCCCTAGGTTCTTATTGATTGATAAAAACCGGGTTTCTCAATCTTCTTCAAATTTGCTACACCAATAACTTAACATAAATTCCATAAGATTACTTGCCACTGATGATTCTATTCTATTCTTACCCCTATTATTTTTTTTTACGTTTTCATACCGTCTTGAGATTCTTTTGTTGGCTTCTTCATCTAATTTCTGAATAGTTTACTACCCTTTCGCTTTATATTTTATGCTAAGGGTAGTCAGGTAATTCCATTATTTTGGGTCTTCTGTGTCTTTATATAATTTTCCCTTAAGAATTACAGTATTATATATTTTCCTTGAATTACATGAAAATATGACATTATAAAAATAACGTTTTCCCGCCATTTTAGCATATTTTGTATAAAACTGCTTATTTTAAAGCATTTTTTTCCACAAAATATAAAGCGCAGCCTAGAACAAGATTTATTTTTTTTTACCAAAGATGTATCTATCGAATTTTAATTAGTGACAGAAAAATTATGTTTGTTCTACACTACGCTCTATGTTTCCTATAAAAAAAAACATCAAGAAAAAGGCATATATTTGGGTTTTCTGTTAGATAGCAAAAATACCATTATTTCTCATGTCATTTACAGCTAGAGAGTTCATATAAATGTGAAAAATATATTAGATATATTTCTAATATAACCTCTTCTTTCAAATAAATCTCAATTAAACATATCTGAATGTCATTCTGAAAAGTTGATTTTTAGGGGGCCAAAATTGGCTCTTATCATAATTATATACTCCTTTCTGAAAGTGCTAGAATGTGTCAATCACACCCATACAAAAATATGAAGTTTCAATAACTTTTAGATGAAATAGGATTTTAAATATATTTTTGTGTGTAATGCTATTGCAAATCTGTGTCTATCCATCTTGAACAGAATTTTTCAGAATAAATTATACAAAGAAAACTACGTCTATATTTTCGGATTTTTACTCTTCTTTAGCGCCGTTTTGAAAGCAGAAATAAAAAAAAATGATTAAATTCCTTATGGTTTTCCAGCTCCAGCTGGCTTCGGTCTGGAAATCAAAGCCCCTTCAGGGTTCTCCATCATTTGAAATGTTACTGTGTTGCAGAGTTTACGCGAAGCACTAAAATTTCGCGGTATTTTCGCGATCAGATTCGCAAACTGAAACTGATTCATTATAATAACAAAAGAATACATGGACACACTTAAAAAAAAATCAGATTCGTTACACAAATGGTATGGTCGTACATATTGATAAAAGTAAAAACTCAGGTTCTGAAAAGCAGAGGAAATTCTGGTCGTTACAGTTGTTTAGAGTAAATTTGCTTCTAGGTCGTATAACCGAAATGCACTAAAAAGAAACTTCAAAAAAGTAAAATACTTTTAAGAGTTCATTATTTGAACATGTTGAAAATTTTAAGCAATTCATTTACATATATGAAATGACTTCGGTACAATTTTATGGTTCACTTACAGTATACTAACATAATCGTAGAGTATACGTAGAACCTTGGTTCTTTAGAAAAGACACATTTAAATATTTTTAAAAAATAATTCAATCTATTTTAATGAAACTTTCAATTAACCGTTACATGGAAGTGTGAAAACAAATTATTTATCTTTGTTCCTTCATGCGTGAAGTCCGGCGAGGGTCCTAAATTGGAGATAATTAATTATGCAAGGTGAAGTCTTAGTAATTATGTGCTCCACCGTTTAGAATTGAAAGACGGTAGAATTGTTTGATTAAAATTTCACTCAGCATGGTTTGAGAAAATTTATGTTTAGTTTTACAAATTATCACAGATCTTACTGTGTCGGCAAAATTTTTACTGTGTCGCAAGCATTAAATTTGAATTGTTACTGTGTCGGGGAAAATTTTACTGTGTCGGGAGCAACACAGTAAAACAGCTCATGGAGAACCCTGCCCTTATTAAAAGTGTAAATGGCATTCGGGAATTTTTAAATGTATTAGAATAAAATAAAATGTTTTTCTAAGTTGATGAAACATGGAGATTTGAAGACAAATTGTTTAAGGGGGAGAAAGATGTGACGTTTTTAGGTGTTTAGTGGAGAAAAAAAGAACTGAAAACTCTTTGGTCTTCCGTCCAAATAAACATCTTTATAAATGTATGCAATACTCTCTTCATGTATAATTAATTCCATAGGTGTCAGAAGTAAAAGCCTCAATATGTTTCAAAAAAGGTCATTGAAAAATGGGTGAACTTAACGCCCTATTTTGGATTTTTGTTTTGCGACTCCTCCAAGTGAATCCAAAATATCATTTTACAAACAGCGTGACAGTTTGCTGGATGGGGCGTGCCGAAATCCCCTGATAATACTGGC